ACTGGGCAACATAGTTAGACCGTCTCTACAAAAAAAACTTTTTAAAAAATCAGCCAGGCGTAGTGGCGCTTGTCTGTAGTCCCAGGTACTCAGGAGGCTGAAGTAGGAGGATAGCTTGAGTCCGGGAGGTCGAGGCTGCAGCGACCCATGGTCAGGCCACCGCACTCCAGCCTGGGCGACAGAGTGAGACCCTGGCTCTAAAAATAAACGAAGAAGAAGGAGGAGGAAGGGGAGGAAAAAAGAAGGGAAAGAGAGAAAAGCAGCTTGAAAATTAAATCAGCATTTTTAACAAGAGGGTAAAAACATACAGTCGTCATTCTCCCCAAGGAAGGCTGATGCCGCTGTTATATCAGCCAAGCACTGAGAATCTTGTAAACACGGGTCTGTCCCCGCTTAAGAACGACGCTGCTCTGACCCACCGGGGGCTGATGACTGGGGCGAGTCAGCGACCCGCTGGATTGTGGTCGTCTGAGACCCAGGGACCAGCTTTTGGCATGCGAGTGCAGGGCATGCGGGGGACCTGGGTTAAAATGTTATTTTAAAAAAGTTATAAAGGAAAATACTTTTTTAAAATAAAAGTTTAAAAATCTTTCTTTAACATTCATACTGAACAACTTCACTTGGTACGGAGAAGACGGGTTTTACACATGCAATTGCAATTGGAGAACCCTCCAAATACATCACAGGGCGCTACACTTCCTGACCTGGTGGTGGTGACTAGGAGGTTGCCTTTGTTGTCACATCTGTTTTGATCACTTTATGTGACATATTTCAGGGAAAAAAGGTCAAAAATTTTTTGTAATTAAAATTTTTTTTAATTTTATATTTTAAAAACTTTTTTTTTTTTTTTGAAATGGAGTTTCACTCTTGTTTCCTAGGCTGGAGTGCAATGGCGTGATCTCGGCTCACTGCAGCCCCCGCCTCCTGGATTCAAGTGATTCTCCTGCCTCAGCCTCCTGAGTAGCTGGGATTACAGGTGCCCACCACTGCACCTGGCTAATGTTTTGTATTTTTGGTAGAGACAGGGTTTTGCCATGTTGGCTAGGCTGGTCATGAACTCCTAGCCTCAGATGATCCTCCCACCTCGGCCTCCCAAAGTGCTGGCGTTACAGACATGAGCCACCGCACCCGGTTGGTTTTGTTCTTTTTTTTAATTTTCGTATTCCATGGAGCTCTCCTCAAGAAAAAGAAAGTTCAAAATTCTTAATAGTCTTTATCAGCAAGAAACTTTGCAGCTGGGCGCCGTGGCTCCCACCTGTAATCCCAGCACTTTGGGAGGCAGAGGCAGGTGCATCACTTGAGCCCAGGGGTTTGAGACCAGCTTGGGCAACATGGCAAAACCTTGTCTACAAAAAATACAAAAAAAAAAAAAAAAATTAGCCACGTGTGGTAGTGTGCACCTGTAGTCCCAGCTATTTGGGATCACTTGGGCCCAGGAGGTGGAGGCTGCAGTGAACCATGATCATGCCACTGCACTCTAGCCTGGGTGATAGAGTAATACCTTGTCTGAAAGAGAGGGAGAGAGAGAGAGAAATTTTGCTTGAGTAGGTAATACAATTTTTTTTTTTTTTTTGAGACAGAGTTTCGCTCTTGTTGCGCAGGCTGGAGTGCATGGTGCGATCTTGGCTCACTGAAACCTCTGCCTCCCAGGTTCAAGCGATTCTCCTGCCTCAGCCTCCCAAGTAGCTGGGATTACAGGCACCCACCACCACGCCCAGCTAATTTTTTGTATTTTTAGTAGAGACAGGGTTTCACCATGTTGGCCAGGCTGATTTTGAACTCCTGGCCCCAAGCAATCCACCTGTCTCGGCTTCCCAAAGTGCTAGGATTACAGGCGTGAGCTACTGTGCCCAGCCGGTAATACAATTTGTAAACCATTTTTTACATGCTGAAATTTACAACAGTTCATGTTAAAAAATCTAACAGCTCTTCTTATTTATGAATATAATGTTGAACATTTTTTTAATTAAAAATGACTTTTTTTTCCTTTTCTTTCTTTCTTTTTTAATTTAAATAGAGATGAGATCTCTCTATGTTGTCAATCTTGTCTGCCTAGGCTCCCAAAGTGCTGGGATTAAAGGGTGAGCCACGGTGCCCTGCCTTGAAGATTCTGAAATTAGTAAGAGTGGATTGTGAACATTTCACTTTTTCATGGTAGTGTTTCCAAATGAGGGAGCGCTTTAAGGTAATGAGCTTGCATAATGTGAGCAGCCACCTGGTGCCTCTCAAAAGGCACATCACCTGCGAGGGGCAAAGACTGAGGGCTGTGTCCACCAGGCACCCAGCCCGGATAGAACGCCCTCTGAGCTGTGTCCCGCCCCTGAGGGAAAATAGCAGAGGCCACAGTATTCACCAGGTAACACCTGGCCACCCTTCGGAATGAAGTGTTAGTATCTCACTAGTGACCATTCCAGGTGGTCCCTGTTACGGCCACATCGCAAAGCCTGTTCTCCTTCTCCTCTTCTCCAGTGTCCAGTCGGGCACCTGACAAAGACTCAAACATGCTTGGTGGGCTGGCTGTGGTGGCTCACACCTGTAATCCCAGCACTTTGGGAGGCTGAGGCAGGCAGATCACTTGAGGTCAGGAGTTCAAGACCAGCCTGGCCAACATGGTGACAACCCGCCTCTACTAAAAACACAAAAATTAGCTGGGCATGGTGGCATGTGCCTGTAGTCCCAGCTACCTGGGAGGCAGAGGTGGGAGAATCACTTGAACCTGGGAGGTGGAGATTGCAGTGAGCCATTGCACTCCAGCCTGGGCAACAGAGACCCTGTCTCAAATAAACAAACAAAAAACATGCTTGGTGAATGATGGGCCAATATCAATCTTACTGTGCAAATATGACCCATGTTTTGTAAAACAAATGTCTATCTATGGGGGAAAAAAACCTAAAGGGGGCACATTATTAACAGTTGTAAATGCTAAGAGTCCAGATAATTTTCATTTCCATTTTTTAAAATTCTCATTTTTTGTGTCCAGGCACGGTGGCTCACGCCTGTAATCCCAGCACTTTAGGATGCCGAGGTGGGTGGATCACCTGAGGTCAGGAGTTCGAGACCAGCCTGGCTAACATGGTGAAACCCCATCTCTACTAAAAATACAAACGTTAGCCCAGTGTGGTGGCATGCACCTGTAGTCCCAGGTACTTGGGAGGCTGAGGCAGAAGAATTGCTTGAACCCGGGAGGCAGAGGTTGCAGTGAGCCGAGATGGCACCACTGCACTCCAGCCTGGGAGACAGAGTGAGACTCCAGCTAAAAAAAAAAAAAATTCATTTTTTTTGAATTTCCTACCACGAACATATCAAACTGTTATCAGAAAATGAAAGTTCTTGTTTACTGTGGAGAAGAGGGGAGGGCGGATGTTTTTGCTATAGAGCAGCTGAAAATGTTTTGTCTGTGTCATCCCATGAGCTCATTTATTTCACTAACATTCTGGGGTGGCCACAGGAGGTTCTGCCTTTCCCAGGGAAAATAAAATCATTGTTTTCTCTCCAAGACTTCTTGTTCAGTTCTATTGCTGTGTAACAAACCATCCCTGAATGTAGCGGCTTCAAACATTTATTTTGCTCACAGATGTCCAATTTGGGCAGAGTTTTGTGGGGAAATCTCTGCTCTGATACACTTATAAAAAGCAGGGGGCTGCGCTAAGGCTGGAGGCAAGAACCACCTTCAAACTCCCTCCCTCACATGTCCTAGGATCCGTGCCGGCTCCAGCTGGGCCCTTCACTGGGGCTGTTGGCTGGAACACCCTCATGTGGCCTCTCCATGTGGCCTGGGCTTCCTCACAACGTGGTCACTGGGCTCCAAGGGTGGGCTTTCTAAGAAGAAGAGTCCGGTAGCAGCTGTATCACCTTTTGTGATGTAGCCTCAGAAGTCACATAGCTGAACTCTATCGGCCAAGCCAGTGACAAAGGGGAGGCACCGTAGTTCGAGGAGAGGGATCATAGACCCCTACCTCTCCAGGGAGAAACTGTGGCCATTTTTGGATATTATAATCTGCCTGCCCGCCCTCTGAAAATCCCTGCAGAATTGAGTCGGAATGGGGATTTGAGTCTCAAATCCCTGCAGAATTGAGTCCATTTCTGTGGCATCTGGACAAGAAAAGATTTCTCTTTCAGCCCCGATGGGTCAGTACAGGCCTCTGAGTCCTGTGGGAAAGTCTGACCTGCAAGTCACAAAGAAGTCAGAGTGAACTAAATTCCAGAAAGGGAGGAGCAGAACCCCGGGGCTGCGTTCATCCCTGGAGGTATTCCCTCCCACTTGTTTTTGGATTGTCAACTTATTTCTTGAACAAGTCAACATTTCAGGATTTTGATTTGTTTTAGAGCAAAGGGTTTTGACTTTTATAAACATTGTTAAGCACTTCATGTCATGGCTGGGTGCAGTGGCTCATGTGTGTGATCCCAGCACTTTGGGAGGTCAAGGCAGGTGGATCATTTGAGGTCAGGAGTTTGAGACCAGCCTGGCCAATATGGTGAAACCTCGTCTCTACTAAAAATACAAAACTTAGCTGGGCATGATGGCAGGTGCCTGTAATCCCAGCTACTCAGGAGCCTGAGGCAGGAGAATCACTTGAACCTGGGAGGCAGAGGTTGCAGTGAGCTGAGGTCACGCCATTGCACTCCAGCCTGGGCAGCAGAGTGAGACTCCATCTGAAGTAAATAAATAAATAAATGTAAATAAATAAAACATTGTTAAGCACTTCATTTTGGTGCAGAGTTTTCTTTTCATGTTTCTTCCTGCGGTGCCTCTTTAAATTGTAAATATTCTGACATTAGATAGTGATGATGGTTTTACAACTCTGGAAATACACCAAAAACCACTGAATTGTGCACTTCAAAATGATGACTTTTACAAAAACAAAACAAAACAAAAAAGGATCAGTTTTATGATAAGTGAATTATATCTCCATAAATCTTAGTTTAAAAATATAATAATAAGCCATTATATATTAACATAAATAATATTGGTAAGAAGAGAGGCACTGTTTTACCTTTTTTCAAATGTCTTTTGCAAATGTCTTCTACATCTGGCTTAGTAGAATATAGTTGGATATCGCATCTGCTTCTGCATTTGATTTGCTGCCATTTGTTTTGCTTGAAGTATGTGAAGAAAATCCAATCTTCCACAGATCGCTGGAAATACAGTTGGATATATAGCTGAAAGAAGGGAGGTGTCATTTAATAGGCTTTTCAGATAACGGTGGCTATTCTTCTTTGATATGACAGCAAAGCTCAGACAAGTGGGGGTTTCTTGAGGTTTAGTTGCAATGTGGACACTGAAAGTACATGAACAAACTTTACATACTGTTTCAGAAAAATCTGTTGCTCTGTCTTGCACATTTAAGATCCATAACCTATGCAAATTTTTGTACCATTGGCTGTGTTGACACATTTTACTTACACGGTATTAAAGTTTTCCAAAATTCTAGTCTATTTTTTCCTGTTTGTGTTTTTTTTAAGACAGGGTTTCATTCTGTCACAAAGATTAGACTACAATGGCATGATCATAGCTCACTGCAGCCTCAAACTCCAGGGGTTAAGTGATCCTCCTACCTCAGCCTCCCTAGTAGCTGGGACTACAGGTGTGTGCCACCACAACTAGCTACTTAAATATATATATAGAGAGAGAGAGAAAGAGAGACGCGATCTCACTATGTTGCCCAGGCAGGTCTTGAACCTGGGGCTCAAGTGATCCTCCTGCCTTCACCTCCCAAAGTGCTGGGATTACAGGCAAGAGGCATCATGCTAGGCCCAAAATTCTAGTTTTTCTTTGAAGCTCACATTTTATTGTTATTAGAAAGTACTATCAATTGTTTACCTTGAAGTGACAGGCTCACTTTGTTCATTGTTCTAGAAAGTGTCTCTGAATGCCCAGCTGTGAATAGCCATGGATTGTCAGCTGTGCTTCCAGGCAAAACTGATGTTCCCTGAAAGGGGAGCTAGTTCAGCTCATAAACAACAGCACACATGCTTTTCTCAGGATGAGTAATGGACTTTGATCTGCAGCCCAAGGGCTTTCTGTTCACTTTCCATCCATTACACCAAATATTAAAAAGGTGTGTACGTAAGGATCAAAATTTATAAATTAATTAACTGATTTTAGACAAGGTATGGCTCCGTCACCCAGGCTGGAGTGCAGTAGCTCAATCTCGGCTCACTGCAACCTCCAGCTCCCAGGTTCAAGCAATTCTCAGGCCTCAGCTTCCAGAGTAGCTGGGATTATAGGCATGCACTACCACGCCCAGCTAATTTTTTTTAATTTTTTGTAGAGACGAGGTTTCGTCATGTTGGCCAGGCTGGTCTTGAACTCCTGATGTCAAGTGATCCGCCTGCCTTGGCCTCCCAAAGTGCTGGGATTACAAGCATGAGCCAACATACTCAGCCTCAAAATTTAATAAAATTAAAAACTATTTTCCTGCTTCATTGAGGGTATATATTTTTTTCTTTTTTTGGACACAAGGTCTTGTTCTGTCACCCAGGCTGGAGTGCAGTGTTGTGATCATGGCTCACTGCAGCCTCAACTTCCCAGGATCAAGCAATCCTCCTACCTTAGCCTCCCAAGTAGCTGGGACTACAGACATGCCACCATGCACCTGTCTAATTTTTGTATTTTTGTAGAGACATGGTCTTGCCATGTTGCCTAGGTTGATCTGGAACCTTGAGCTCAAGCAATCCTCCCGCCTCAGCCTCCCAAAATGCTGGGATTACAGGTGTGAGTCACCACACCCAACCTCAAGGACATTCTTAAATGCAATTAATTTTTTTAAAAATGAGGAGTGTATGATGGTGAAGAACACAATAACTCCTGGTATAGTTTGATGCCACTGCCTTAATTCAGGCTGAGGCGATGTCAGGTTTACCCACCATTCCTTTTGCATCATGGGTACAAATGTCAATACATTGAAAAAGGCAAATACTGTCTTAGTATTATGAAAATAGTTCTCAGAGGTACGTGGAGCACTTTGAGGAATCACTGATCTTATTTCTTTTATTGGCAGCTGAGTGTTTTGTTCTCTGTGTGTAGCATACATTAACTAACCTGTTCTTGTTGGTGGACATTCAAGGTCATTCCTATCTTTTATTACCCACAGAGTATTGCAAAGAGCAGGGGGTGGACTCCCATCCTAAGCGGCTTTCGGGTTGGAAGTTGAAAAATCTCATATATTCAGGCATGCATCCTTTGCTTCAGCCAACAAATAGGAACCTAGACCGGGTACGGTGGCTTGCCATGCACTTTGGGAGGCCAACGTCGGAGGACTGCTTGAGCCTAGGAGTTCAAGACCAGCCCTGGGCAACATAGCGAGATCCCACCGATGTCCAAAAAAAAAAAAAAAAAAAAAAGTTTAAATTTGCCAGGCATGGTGGTGCATTCCTTTAGTCCCAGCTACTCCGGAGGCTGAGGTGGGAGGATTGCCTGAGCCTAAAAGATCGAATCCCCAATGATGTGTGATTGCACCACTGCACTCCGGCACAGTGCAGTGGAGTGACACAGTGAGACCTTGTCTCCAAAAAACAAACAAGTATGAACCCAGTACCAGAAAAATAATACAAAATCCCTGCCCACATTCTGATGGCGGAAACAGATAGTCAACAAGATAAATACAAATCTATCTTAGATGATAAGTACTAAGATAAAAATAAGTCAGAAAAGCGTTTAAGGGAAGTCTGTTGGGAGTGATGGGGCAAGTTATAATTTTAGGTAAAATGACCAGGAGGGGCATCATGGAGTAGCTGACATTTAAATCATGACCAGCAGAAAGTGAGGGGGTCTAACAGCGAATTGAGGGCTACAACAGAAACAACAGAGGCTGTAGGCGTGGAATTCCTCGCTTTTTTTTGCCAGCATCTTCTGACAATTGTGTCCTTTCCTCTAATTCTTTCCCTATAGATGTTTCTAGATAGCCCTCAATGACTTCACCTTTTCTCCAGGGATGTCTCCGCAAGGGCAAGTTTCAAGCCTTTGTTTACGTTTGGGAAACACTTACACAACTTTCCCCGGCTTGGCTGCTAGTGCCCAGTGGATAGCCCCAGGCACTAGCTAAATGGATTTCTCCCCATCTCTTTTATTAGCCAGATTGTGTAAATGAATCCCAGCAAGTCAGACACAAGGGTACCCCCTGGCAGAGGCCCTGGAACCCCTGTGTTGGCACAGCTGCCGGAGAAATTCCTGGCAGAGAATCAGAGAATCAGGCATCAAGAACGGGGGAGCTTTTAAACCTCAGACTCCAGGCGCCAGGCCAGACCCACAGGCTCCAACCCCCAGGTGAGGCCTGGTTCCCAAAGCCCCCTGTGGCTCCTGTCATCCATGTCTGTGGTCTGGGGGGCAAGCTGGGGCCGGGGGACTTTAGGGACTTGCTAGGGAGCACCCACAGGGGGCCGATTAGTTCAGACCTGAGTTCCCTGGGTAGGCTCAGCTGCCCACAGGCTCAGAGAATCAAGAGACCAACAAAGGATTCCAAAAGAAAGAAAATACCAGTCTTATTCCTCACCCGATAGGAGCAGCAAAAATCCTACAGGGCTGGAGGGAGGGAGAGCAGACCCCACCCCCACAGCCCTGGGCATGGCTATCAGAAGACAACCTGCCCGGCCCCATCTTGTCCCCACCCATGCCCTTCAGGGGCTGGCACTGCCCTAGGAAGCTCCATCCTCCCAGCCGTCTGTCCCCACATCCGGTCAGTCAACTCTTGGTTCCAGCCCCTGGGGTGATTCTGCTCTCTCCTCCCCTTCTCTGCAGAGGCCTGCACACAGCTCTCACCTGGAGGGAACACAGGAGGCAATGCTTTCCTCTGAAGGAGCTCAGCCCTCTGCCCACCCGTCCTCCCCTCACTCACACAGGCAGGAAGGAGTGGTCCAAGACAGCGCTGTCCAACAGAAATAGAATGAGCTATTTCTTTTCTTTTCTTTTTTTTTTTTAAGACAGAGACTCACTCTGTCGCCCAAGCTGGAGTGCAATGGCATAATCTTGACTCACTTACAACCTCTGCCTCTCGAGTTCAAGCGATTCTCCTGTCTCTGCCTCCTGAGAAGCTGGGATTACAGGCACCTGCCACCACTCCTGGCTAATTTTTGCATTTTTAGTAGAGATGGGGTTTCACTGTGTTGGCCAGGCTGGTCTCAAACTCCTGGCCTCAGGTGATCCACCCACCTTGGCCTCCCAAAGTGCTGGGATTACAGGCATGAGCCATCACACCTGGCCTTAGAATGAGCAATTTTATTTGTAATTTTGAATTGAAAATTTTCTGGGCCAGGTGCCATGACTCACACCAGTAATCCCAGCACTTTGGGAGACTGAAGTGGGAGGATGGATTGAGTCTAGGAGTTTGAGACAAGCCTGGGCAACATAGTGAGACCCCATCTCTACAAAAAATTAAAAATTAGCCAGGTGTGGTGGCACACACCTGTAGTCCCAACTACTCGGGAGGCCAAAGTGGGAGGATTACTTGAGCCCAGGCAGGAGGTCGAGGCTGCAGTGAGCCCTGATCGTGCCTTGCACTCCAGCGTGGGCAACAGAGCAAGACCCTATCTCAAAAAAAAAAAAAAAAAAAGAAAGAAAGAAAGAAAAGAAAAAAGAAAATTTTCTAGTGGCCACATGCTTTTAAAAGTAAAGGAAGAAAAATAAAACAGGTGAAATTAATTTTAATAACATTTCATTTAATCTAATATATGTCCAACATTATCCCTACATGTAATCAGTATAAAAATATCAATGAGATATTTTACATTACTTTATTTCATGCCAAGGTTTTGTAATGTAGGGTGTATTTTACACTTGCTGCTCATCTCAATCAGACTGTCCACATTTCAAGCACCTGATAGCCACGTGCAGCTGGTGGCAACCTCGTGGAATAGCTCAGGCCCAGAAGGCAAACCGGAGCAGCTGCTGCCTCTCCTTCAACCCTCATTGGAGAGGACATCCCACCACCGAGCAGCTCTGCTCAGGCTTCGTCTCTGGCCTCCACTACTTCTCCTCTGAAACCTGCCCCCCTCATTACTCCCTCCCTTCCCGCCAAGGTGTTCAGATTCACAAAAATCTGAGCCAGGCTCCAGGGATGCTAGGCCTAGGGTCTAAATAAATGAAACCCACCAGTCCCAGTTCCCAGATGTCTTCCTCCCCACCCCACCCCTGGTGAAATGGAGTCTCGCTCTCATTGCCCAGG